GGAAATAGGTTTAGGTTTTAAACTATAAAATTAATAACATATTGTTTTGTTATGCTCAGCTGTTTCCAGTTTAAAATAATAATAATTATTATTTTTAGAGATTAAATGTAATTATTTTATGTGCCAGAAAGGTTTTGCTCCACTTTTAAAGAGCATATAACAGCTTACATCTGTAACTCCAATGTAATAATCAATAAACATGTCTCACATGATAACAAACCTTACAGCTCACACACACACATCCTGTTGTACACGTGCCACTTTAAATTCTGTTACCCCAAACAAAATGTGTGTTTTCCTGTCACCCAGGAAACAAAACAAACACAAACATGCATTAAGGGGGGTTATTAATAGTATTTATAGGTCGCAGCCTTTCAAAAGATTGACTTCATTGATCCACAACAATGAAAGTAGAAACTCTCCGGTTAGTAGTGAACGTACGTTAACGTCGGTGATTGTATCTCAAACACAGGAGTCAATGAACTCCACCACACACTGTCAGCGTGTGTGTTGAGTTACTTTATCGAAGCTCATTTGTTATTGTTTACCAGCCTCCACAGTTGTTGACTTGTGTGATTAAAAAACACAACACACACCGACGGATGGAGGACAAAACGTTTTAACGTTGTACCGATTCCACCTGCTTCCGCTAACGTAACACACGCACAGTCCTCCACGGTGCTCTCGGTAAAGCTTACACTGCGGTGCTGTGTACCGGAACAGTTCACGGGACTGAAACTACTCGTGTAAACGCGTTATATTAATTAATAATATATTAATTGTATACGTACCTGCCCCGTGGTGGCACGAACCACTGTCAGAGGACGCTTCCTGGACCAGTCACGTGACAGGCGGCTGATGGAGGTTGTGGGGTTTTATTTATTTATTTATTTATTTATTTTAGGATGTATTACTGCCGTGGTAAGCTTTAGAATTACGACATTTAAAATGAGGATAGTTTTGGGTCTGGGTCTGGGGGAATTGAGGGGTTTTTAGTCATTTTAGTGGCAGAAACTGCAGTAAAAGACCCTCATTAACGAGAATGTATCACCAGGGAGGGTCTCAGCTCATCATCAGAGGACCTTTTACATATCTAGACTATGTAATTGATCATAAATATAAGTGTATATACATAATAATGCTGTGGATTCCGTTTCACTATACAGTATATGACAGCCCATACAGCATATAGATCATTAACTTGCATCATCTGATGAGGTGTGTAAACCAGGTTGTTCTCTTCTTGGGGAAAGAATATAATAAATAATAATGTACTGATATTATATAATAATAATAATAATAATAATAAAGTGTTACACCAACTTTTTGACTTATTTCTGGTTCTCAATTAATTCAGATTATGATATGTTTGCAGGAGCTGGTCCCTTAACACATGACTGATAATTGAATTTGGTGTTATATACATTTATTAGATTGATAATTGATTAATATTACTTAGACTGGGCATTGCATGAATTTAAAGTAATGGATTGGAGTAGTTGAATGGCTCTCCTTATCCATATTTCTCTGCAAAGTCTTTGCATTATTTTAATTACATTTTAATTAATTTAATTCTCCTGTTTTAAATTATGAGGGTAAAAGTTTATTAAACATCTCTGCAATAAAGCACAATACTTAACATAATAACAGAATAGATAGCCTTTAGCACATTTAAATGAGTTTTATCATGCTGATGAATTATTATATCGGCTGTAGTTTGAGTCCCTGGCTGTTGTCTGTCACTTGGGGGCAGCTGTAGACTGCAGTGTATTGCTCAAACACGAGGGACCTCTGTTGGTCTCCGTGTGGTATAGCTGCTTTCAATTTGAATCATATACTTTTCACAGTCTCATCATACTGTCATCAATCAAACGCCGTCAGCTCTAAGTGCTCCACCTCTAACTGAAAAATAACAGCTGGCTTCCACGATCAGGACGAGAGGCCACGGACTTCTGAACAATTTTAAAAACAGGAATAAAAAAATCTCAATAACACAAACTGCTGACTTCAAGTGGATAAACATCAGCTCTGTTTGCTCTGCATTGTTCAGCTGTCTTGTGTCATTACCCTCTGAATCCAGGCCTACCTCAAACAAAGCAGGTGCCCCGTTTGGCCAAATAATGACCTGATTGTTGTTGACCACACTGCCGGTCGCCCTCTCTGGTCCTCCCCTCTTTTCTCCCCTGAACAGTTGTGGTTGTTACAGCACAGACCTCGACTCAGCAGCTCTGTGGCCCCATGTCTAACACATATAATGTAGCAGCTGAGATTAGACAACTTCACCGCTTTGAAGCATAAACTTAGAATGGCAAGATGGCAAACTGTGATTGATCTTGTTTTTCTATCCGAGCTAGGTTTTAGTTTTGTATGGATGTTTCACATTTCTAATTTAGCATTTAGCAGCACAAGGTACACTAGTATCTGTAGTTTTGGAAATTTTAATTGTACTGTACAATCTTCCCAACTGCTGTTTCCAAAGGCAGAATAACTATTAAATCCACCAACAGGCCTCGCTGTGAGATCAACGGAAGTTTCCAAGGCGAAGATCGAACTTCTCATCTCAACAACCTGTTATAGTGTAATCCCAAATACAGACATGGGCTACTCTCTCTCACACACACACAGACACACACACACACACACACACACACACACACACAGACACACACACAACATACCTTACAGCTGTAATGCCTGTGATCACACTGTAGAGCCCTCCCAAGTTGGCTGGCCACTGTGAAATGTAAACAGTAAACAGGATGGGGCATCCTGTGTGTGTGTGTGTGNNAACCACACAGAGCCCCGATAAAGGGTGTGTGTGTGTGTGTGTGTGTGTGTGTGTGTCACAGACTGTGTGTAAGTGTGGATGCATTTGAGTGTGTGTGGAAAGGAGGGGCTGGATGTTGAAGAGAGAATGAGCCCATGCTGAGCGTGCTAACCCAGCTGTCACTGCTATAACTTCAGACTTGAGAGACCACAGGACGCAAGCTGGAGGACCACTGTGTGTGTTTAAGTGTGTGTGTGTGTGTGTGTGTGTGTGTGTGTTGTCGCCCCACACCCACAGGCATTCTCCACAACCCCTGGCTTCCTTCCTCCCCTTTGTTAAGCCTGCGAGGCAGACTTGGTCAAGCTGAGCACACAAACGAATGCATATGAATGTGTGCTGTCATCTTTATTAGGCCCCTTTGCCAACACCCATTACATTTAACACGGGTCTTTACTGAAGGGGATTTCACTTTCAGTCATGCCCTCGTACCCCCACTCTCCTCAGATGAGGGGGATTACAGTGACCTCAGTCTGGGATGGATTTGAATACACAACCTGTTACCCACTAATAGGAATATAATACTGAGCAATAAACAAAGGCCAATTTTTAAACAAGTCTTTCTTCTTCTTATTTCTTGTGACTTGAAAGGTAATTAATAGTGGTTTTATATTTCAAAGACGAGGCAATCCTGTCATATATCTTTCCTTGGCTTTCTTATTAAAATATCTGTCTGTACCTGCAGTGTTCATTTTTTTTCTACAGCTGCTCTTTGATGCATGAGGTCAGTGCCAAAGCAGGATGCGATGAGTGATCGGGGCGAAGCCACAAATAGACTTAACCCGCGTACTGTATGAGTAAAGCTCTGTGTTTTTAGCCACATTCTCACATGTCTTCTCTTCATAAGACAAAGACTTGTCGGAGCGTGTTCTTGCCTTTGTTTCCTAACGCTACGCTGCACACTGCACAGCCCACACAGACAACAGACACCCACCCCGAATTCCAGTTAAGATAGGTGGTGTTTTCAGAGGTGGCATGTGGAGCTTTTAAAATGAGATGACTGAGGACAGGGAGGCAAAAACAATACACAGGCTTTTCAGTGCAGACAATAGAGCACAGAATGAAGAAGCTTCCACAATATCCATCCCCGTTAGTGAGGAACATAAGAGGATGGTGGTCTGGGATTGTTTTATGGTTCTATTATAAGAGCACACTTGTGGCTGTGGTTTATGTACCTGTATTGAACTTGGTATGCAGAGATAGGAGACTTCAAATCCTACTATCTGTTGTAGTTTATTTGTATAGGGCTTATCAGTATCAACATATTGTGTGAATAGAACTGCAGTAATGAATTGAACAATGTTGTGGCTGTTCTTGTTATGCTGTAATAACACAACGTTTGCCTTGTGTGATTTTTATGTTATCAGATAAGTTGAAGGATTACGCACTCCTTAGTGGGTGGAAAATTCCAACCTCATGGTCTCATAAAAACCTTTTAAAACCCTTCGGATTATCTCAAAAATGCCATGTCTCCCATAGTCTCGTTCCAGGCCTCTGAATCAGGACCCACATGTCCTGATGATGTTTTTTTTCAGTGATTCAAATCCAGTGTGGTTATCAGGCTAAAGTAAAAACTTAACTCTTGACGCTGTTGGAGACACATGGTCATCACTGAATTGTGATGTTACAATGAAAAATTCACTTTGTGTCATTGCAAGAAGACTTTTAAATACTTTCTGTAACAGAAACTGTTGGATGAAACTGTAATTCCAACCTTTATTTTTCATTAATAAAGCAAATATGCATCTAAAGACTTAATCAGCACCAAATTAAATCTACACAGACACAGTTAGCAGTGGTGAAACTACATTTACTCTGTATGTCATTATACAATTTTGAGGTACTTGTACTTCCATTTTATGGTTTTATGGTTCACTTCACAAAATGTCAGAGAGAAATATTGCACTTTTTATTCCACTACATTTATCTGACAACTACAGTTACAAATTTTCATACAAATCAGATGATCATTTTACAAAATATGATACATTTTATAGATTAAACTACCCAGATGTATATGGAGAAAAGATTAGCTCTACCACAACATTATAGTACCACTTACATGTTTATGCATCAATAATAATGATTCAATAGTATAATAATGTAACACTTTCTGTGCTTACTTTTCATACTTTAAGTACATTTTGGTGCTTTTACTGAACTGAAATTTCGAATGTATGACTTTAACTTGTACTGTAGGGTTTGGTACTGGTCTTGATTGTTGTTTGGTACTGCTATTTAACTTAAGTAAATAATCTGAGTACTTTTCACACCACGAGTGAGTCTAAGGCTACCTAGTTTCATCAACAAATGTTAACTAAAAGGTGCGACTCATCAACTTTCTCTTAAAGCGTTCCTACCGGGCCCTCACTGAGATGGTGGGATGGTTGAAAACAGTAGGTGCATTTTCTGTTGGCAGTTCACAAAACCTCCCCGGTGTGTTCAATAGTTCAATCCTCTCTGTTTGCTGATACCACAAGAAGTGTAAGGAAAGCAGGGGGGTGTGAGGGGAGCAGGGTCTGAATGACATGGCATTGCTGCTTTGGCCACTGTTCACTGACCCACAAAATACAGACCCAGCCCCCAGTGTGAAGTACTTTTGTGTTGTCATCACCCTTCAGAAGCCCGGGACCTGAGGGGGGTGTGGGGTGTGTGTTTGAGCACCCGGAGGGCTCAGCGTTGTGAGGTCGCAGTCTGCTCTCGGGCAGCACGCATGCTCTGTTAGATGAATAAGAAGAAGCCTGCATTGTGGTGAAAGCATTTGCATACTTGTGTGTTAGAGAGGGTGTTAACCTTTGACACCTTCGAGAACTGGATGACAACAGAAACCACTTCTCAGAGTCTAAGCATTAACACACTCGAAAATAACACCTTAGCGTACCTCCGTGTGTATCAAAACCAATAAAGAGAGGAGAGAAAGGGCTGCTTGAGTGCATAAGATGGAAGTTTCCTTCAAGTGGCAGTTCACACTCAAAACAAAGTGTGTCGGATCATTTGAAAGTGAGGGATATCTGGATCTTAAAGCATGGTGTCAGG